GGCTTTGAAGCGACACAGTTTCAGTTCAAGCGCAGAGGCGTGTGCGATGACCCGTTTGTTATTTTAAGGCCGATATTTGGATATGGGTTGGAAGTGTAGTGATCTCTGATTGCCGCTTGTACTAAGATAAGTGTAACTCTGGGAATGTCATCATCTACTGTTGAAAGGCAGCATAAAGGCTTGGGGAAAGCCCTAGGGAACATTCTGCTGCAGTCCCAGCATGCACAGGATTGTGGAAGGGGGGAATCAGGAGGAGTCAGGAAGCTCAAGGCTGACTGGCAACCGCTCTCGCCGGGGCTCTTGGCCACTTGGCAGCAATTGGGGTGTTTTTCCACAGATTCCTATTTACAGTGGCGTAAGTCACTGGAGGCTGCCAGTGTTGGCATCAGTGCGAGATGAGGTGTGTGGCATACCTGCAGCCAGATTGCTTTTCTGAAACACTGGTGCAAAGCTGGATACAGAACCTGGGGAAGCACTGCTCCTGCAAAACCCAGACTTCAAAGCGATGGGCTGTGTCACCACATGGCCGGGTGGGCCTGCTGTTCACCTCCTCTTGAGGCCGGGGTTGGCTCAGCTGCAGTCAGCAGAAGCCCAGAACGTTGGAACAAAGTTCCTTCATTGCCCCTTGCACCCAGGTGCCCATGGCACGTGGAGCTGTGGCCGGCTTCCTTCCCAAAGGCGCGCCGTGCTGCCTCCCCAAACCGAAGGCAGGAGCCGCGCGTCTGTGAAACTGCTTAAACGTGTACGGACATTTTGCTGGGTAACTGCCAGCAACTTTGGTAATTTCGACCAGAGGAAGATGATGGGGGCGTGGTGGTAGGAGTGGGTGGGACCACTGGGTGTTTGTGAGACCTTCGCTTGCAAAGTGCTTGACAAAAACCCGCAGTGGGATGGGGCAGAGCAGATACCATAAGTACAGCCAGGCAGTGGGAGATTAATCACTCCCCTGGGACAAACCTGGGAGGTTTCCAGCAGGGTCTGTTTGACTGGCCCTTGTTAGAGCTTTGGCATGTTGATGTGGGTCTGTGTGAGATCTTGGCTCATTGTGGGAGTGGAAATGAAGACTTTTTTTCTCACTGCTGATGCGTTGTCTCTTTTTTTCTTGTAGGTGTGTGATGTCAAACAGTGGGCAGTCCTTGCGGCCTCCCCCGCCAGCCTGCAGCGTCATGTGCCAGTATGAATATTAAGAAAGAAAAGCATACTTCAGAGCTCAGCATCACAGAAAGAAAGAAGGAGGAACTAAACGGAGAGAACAGATGACTGCACTGCTTGCAAAACTTTGGGCCGTTCACTTTTTCTCCTGAGAAATTTCATCTTGGCCTTTGTGAGAGAGCTGAAAGAGCAGGCAGAGCAGCCGCGGTGATCTTCTTAGGGTCCTTTTTTTCTTTCTTAATTTAATTTTTTCCCCTTCGTGCCTGGATTTTAAGACTGTCAGCTGCACTGATCACAAGCACTGGACATCAATATGTGTCATGTCATTGTAACGTGTCGGTCGATGCTATGGACTCTCCTGAGTATTGTCGTGGCTTTCGCAGAGCTCATCGCTTTTATGAGCGCAGACTGGCTGATTGGTAAAGCAAAGCCTTCAAGCTCTGAGGATGTGGACAACAGAACAGGGGGGTCACAGGAGCCTTACCATCCAACGCTGGGCATCTATGGGCGCTGCACCAGAATCTCTCACATGCAGCTTTCTAGACGAGACACGCTTTGTGGTCCTTACGCTGAAAACTTCAATGAGATTGCCAGTGGGTTCTGGCAGGCAACCGCTATTTTCCTAGCCGTGGGAATCATGATCCTCTGTGCCGTGGCATTTGTGTCTGTCTTTACTATGTGTGTGCAGAGTATTATGAAGAAAAGCATTTTTAATGTCTGTGGGCTGCTACAAGGGATTGCAGGTATGTGTACTTTGAGAGCAACTAAAGATTTTAATTTTGGGTCATTCAGATGAAGAAATACAGCCTTTCTGTCATGTGT